GATACATCAGTCTAGGTTGGAGGTTGTTTTCTTTTTTTTTCTTCTTTTTTTTTTTTGCGGTGGGGGACAGGGTCTCACTATGTAGTTGAGACTGACCTGGAACTGCCTATGCAGCCATGGCTGATCTGGAACTCATATATCCTCCTGCCTCAGCCTCCCAGGCGCTGGGATTACAGGCATGTGCCACCACACCCAGGGAAGTTGTTTTCATTTAGGATTTGAAATACCTCACTCCAGGCTCTTCTTGACCTGAGGGTTTGTGTTGAAAAGTCTGCTGTGATTCTGATGGGCTTTCCTTTGCGTGTGATTTGTTTCTTTTCTCTTACTGCTTGTAGTATTTTGTTCTTCTGTTGGGTTTCTGGTATCTTGATTATTATATGTCTAGGTGTAGATGTTTTTTTTTTTTATCGTGGCTAGTTGGGAGTCCTATATGCCTCACTTATCTGTATGTCAAATTCTTCCCCTCTGTTTGGGATGTTTTTTGTCATTAATTCTGTCAACAGCTTTTTTAAGTCATTTGCATTTTCTCCTGCTATTTCATGGATTCCTGTCAGTCTTATGTTATTCTTCTTTGCATCATCTAGGAGTTGTTGGATGGATTTTTTACGATCCCTTACTGTTTTTAAGAGACCTCTCTTTTCAGGGTCACTGACTATAATCCTGTCTTCTATGTCTGAGATTCTATCTTCACATTCTTTTATTGTGTTGTTAACACCTTCAATAGAGTTTTTATTCTCCTGGATATCTGTTTGAACCTGTTTTATGGATTCCATTTCTTTCCTATGTTGGGCATTCATTGTTTCCATTTCTTTCTTATGCTGGGCCTTCACAGCTTCTATCATGGTCCTGAGCTCATCTATTTTTTTCTCAGTTTCTGTTCTAGAGTCTCGAATCATGACTTTCATTTTGCTCACCATCTCTATGGTTATCTGGGAAATTATTTCTGTTTTGAATTTTTCTAGAGCCTGATTGATTTGTTACTTCTTGTGCTATGAGTTCAGAGTGTCCTGGTGGTTCACTGTCAGACTTTTCATCCTCCTTTGCCGTGCTGTTTGCCATTGGTGAACTGGAAATCTGTCTTTGTGTCTTGCTTAAGTGTTTTCTCATTTTTATTTTTGTTGTTTGGTTGTCCTTGATTTAATTTCTAAGTTATTAAATCTTCCTGATATAGTTGCGCTTTAGCTTTTGAGTCTATAATGACTCATAGACATTCTCGTTTTCATAATATGAGGGAAAATAACTTGCGAAATCAATCACAATCCTTTATCCCAATTGATACAATCAGCAACACAATAAGATCAAGCATAATTTACAGATTGATCATTCATGGTAGCCATTAATCTACCACCTTTAAACCATGTGAATTAAATTAAAATCAAGAAGCAGCCCAAAATATGTTTGCAGTGAATAAACTCTTCAATATAGCATCATTACCATACAGGATGGGGGCTTAGACAGAGTTAGGATGAGAGTAGATAAGTAAAAGAATTGGAGAAGGTTTGAAGTGAAGCCTGAGGACATAGAATGACCATACAATCTATAGGAAACTGTTAAATTAAAAAGGGAAAGACAGTGCAAGAATAAGGACAAGAATATATCCCCTTAACAGTAATAGGGGCTCACTTTTCCTTGAAACTATTGACCCTTGAGTGAGGTAAAATGACAGAAGAAAAGGGAAAAAAGAAATGATGATAAAAGAAGGAATCTGAGTTAGGATAGGAGCAGAAACAGAAAGGGAGATGAGGGATAATATTGAGGAGCAAGAGACTGAGTTGGAGAAAGAGTACAGAAAAAGAATTTGCAGAGTGGAATGAGGAAAAGACAGAAAACAAAATGAATTTGAAGGGCCTCTTTCAGACTATATTATATCTCTGCTGTTATAATATACAACATGCGCTGTCATGTGCAGAACTAAGTCCCCTGATCGCATCTAGCCGATGGCATATCCCTGTGACACAGACTGACCTGGAGCCACAAGGCCCAGATTGAGTTCCCCAACCTCCTGCAGGGTTGAACTCCACACAGATCTAGTACAAGTTTCACCCACCTTTTTTTTTTTTTTTTTCTACTGGGGATAGAACTCAGGTCCTTGTGCTTGTGAGGCAGGCAGCAGAACCACTGAGCTAAATTCCTGGCCCTCCCTCACCGTTTCTTTACAGATGTTCAAAGTTGGGAGATCAGAAAAATACCCCTTATGACCACCTGTGCCTCTGCAGAGTGGGTCCAAGGACTGGCACAGTCAGGAGGTCTGAGAGTGGGGGAGGGGGTTCAGGGGCACCCCTGTGGCCACCTTCCTTGAGCTGGAGCAATGGCGGCACTGGCAGGGGAGGGCACAGCTACCCATCCCGTGGATCGGGCCCAAGCAGGCCAGAGGGAGAACAGATCTCAGAGCGGCCTTTCCACATCTCACCTTCCTTGGGAGTACTCAATTACATTTAAAAAACTATATCTTTTTTATCCATTCATCAGTTAATGGGCATTTGAGCTGTTTCCAAAATTTAGCTATTACAAACTGTGCTGCTATAAATGTGGGTATGCATATATTGCTGTGGTATAATGCTTTTCTTTTGGAAAGATACCAAGGAGAATAACTGGGTCAAATGGGACCTCTAATCCTAGTTTTTTAATGAACCTCTACACTGATTTCCACAGCAGTTGCACTAGTCTACACTCCCACCAACAGTGGAGATGGGTTCCTTTCCCACAGCCCTACCAGTATTTGTTGTTGGGCAACAAAGGCAAGCAAGGCAGGAGGCATCACATATTACAGAGCCACTGTGAAAAAAATGGCATGGTATTGGCAAAACAAACAAACAGCAAAGAACAGACCTGAGGATCAGTGGAATAGATTAGAAGATACAGAAAGAATCCCAAACACACTCAGCCACCTTCTTTGACAAAGGAGCCAAACATCTTCACTGGAAGAAAGCTTTTTTAATAAATGGTGCTGGAAAAACTGGCTTTCTACATGCCAAATACTAAAACTAAACTTGTTTCTCCATGCACTAAACTAAAATCAAAATGGATTAAAGATCTAAATATTAAAACAATCACTAAGTCTGCTGGAAGAGAGACTAGGTAGAATGCTTGAGGATATAGGAGTGGGCAAAGACTTTATGAACAATCTCCAGACTGCATAGTAGATACTATAAATAATCAACAACCGAGACCTCATTTTTTTTTTTTTTTTTAAACCAGGGATCAAACTCAGGACCTTTTGCTTGCCAGGCTGGCATGGCACCAAAAGGCTAAATCCCCAGCCCTTGAGAACTCATCTTATTAAAAAGCTTTTGCACAGCAAAATAAATCACCAACAATGTGAAAAGACAACCCACAGAGTGGGGAAAAATTTTAACCAGTGGTTTCTCTTGACAAAGGACTCATATCTAGAGCATATAAAGAACTGAAAAAACCCAGCCCCCCCATTCCAAATTTAAAGACTTATCCAAAAATGGGCATCTAAAATGAATACACACTGCTCAGATAAAGTAAAAATGGTAAATAAATTTTTTAAAAAACTTTCAACATCATTGGTCATTTGAGAGATGCAAATTAAAACATCTCACTCCAGAAAAAAATAGTTATTGTTTATTTTTGTAATACTGAGAATTGAAATCAGATCCTCATGCATACTTAGTAAATATTCTATGTTAGCTAATTTCCCAGACCTTGCCTCCCTTTTTAAAAATATTTTAACTAATTGAGATAAGATTTTGCTAAGTTGCCCAGGCTGGCTTCAGACTTTCAGTCCTCCTATATTGCCTCCCAAGTAGCTGGGGTTACAAGCATTTACCACCCTACTTACTCTATTGTTAAGTGCCTGGTGCATAAGAGGAATACAATACCATGTTACTTTTTCTTAGAGCATTTTAAAAATTAGGTACTATGTCAAATATTCTGAACTGTAATAAATACCTTTAAATATGTTTTGAGAAAATGCTGCATCTTTATCTATTTTTCTAGGATTATGCCTCTCTCAGGAGTTGCCTCCATTAGAAGTTTCTGGCCTACACTTAATGAGCTTTTGGCATGAATTATTCACTTAAAAGTATAATAGAAATAGTCTCTTAATAACTTGGGATTTATTTACTGCTTGTATGATAATAGATTTTATTGATATGTTTAAACTTTTAAATACACTAGGAGGGGTATATGTATATGTGTGTGTGTATATGTGTGTGTCTGTGTGTGTGTATACACATTTTATTTACACGATTTTAAAAGTAATTTTAGTTTTACCTCAAAACTTTTGAAGTATATAATATGGGACCTTGGTTACAATATCTGTAGTACACTGTGCCTTGTCTTAATGGCCACTGGCTTTAACATTTTATATTAATACACTGTGCATCAGACTACCAAAAACTAAATGAAGCACTTAATGTTGGGAATCAAATACTAAAGCATTCTGTTCAACCCATGCTTTAGTGTATTTTATTTCATGATTCTTTGCTATTGAACAATATTTCTTCTGCTCTTGATATTAATACCTTGTTCCCAAAGGAAATATTTTATTATTTCATTGACATAAACACTATGGTGAAATTACAAGGCTGTTGTTGTTGTTGTTGATCCTGGGAATTGAACTCAGGACCTTGCACTTGCAAGACAGGCACAGTGCAATTGAGCTAAATCCCCAGCCCTACAAGTATTTTTTAAACCAAATTTAAATACATGTTTTACCTAACAGTCTTGTCTTTGAGCAAATTTTAATTTAGACAAAATTTTATTCATTCACAAATTTTGATTACAATATTCATTTATTAGCTGTATAGTCTCATAAAATCTTAACTTTTGAGATATATTGGATTTGTTCACATGTGATGAGAACCTATTTCATTTTTTTCTAACAATGGAGTTTAATGTTTCAATTTTATGTTTAAAGATTATAATGAGTTAATTAAATATCAGGGAATGGACTTTATTTTTCTTTTGACAGTATAGCTAAGTTCCCAATCTACCATTTCCCATGTGGTTTATTTTACATCTGTTATTTCTAGTGACTAGGTTCCCTCGGCCTATGTCACCTCTTCAAGATGTGTCCACTATTATTGGAAGCCGTGAGCAATTGGCAGTGCTACTACAACTTTATGATTACCAGCTGGAGCACGAGGGTACAACAGGCTGGGAGAGTTTGCTTTGGGTTGTGAACCAGTTGTAAGTTTCCACCTCCATGTTCATTTGATACACTTGAATTAGTTCAAGGATAATAGTTCATATTTAGCCTTAAAACTGAGGGATAAAATATTATAAATATATTTTTTAATGTTTATATATAACTTGGCATCATCAATAGTAATCTTTGGCAGGAAAGGATTTATACTACTGCATGGATATGTAATTATCTGTGAAGAAGTTGCCTCTGTATTATGTCAAAGAGACCAATCTTCTGCCTTATTTGTCCAGTAGTGGTAGTGGATTTAAATTATTTCCATGCTCTCAGTTTTTGAGGCCATGCCATGTTAGCCAAGATGTTATGTGATGCATCAAATCTATAGCTTTGACTCTTATTAATTGTACTCTACTATTAAGTTTTCATATATTTTTATGGCAAGAATTTAAAGATTATTTTAAGTTTATACAGTAGAATATAATCTTAAATAAGGTCTTTCAGACTGTTGCACACAGATCTTTTGCTTTCAATAGACAGTGTACTAAAGTTTGCTTAATCTGCATTATTCCAGAAATTGGCGAGGAAGCAATAATTTATTTATATCCCCTGCCTACTTTTCTTTCCTTTCTTATTTAGGTTGCCACAACTTATAGAAATAGTTGGCAGAATTAATGTTACTTCAACTGCCTGTGTCCATGAATTCTCCAGATTTTTCTGGCGCCTTTGCCGGACATTTGGCAAAATTTTTACAAACACTAAGGTAAAAACTTGTAGTCTTTATTTTCTTATATGCAAGAGATGTGGCACTGTAATAGGATAATTCTATAAAATGGTAAATAAAATTAGGAACCCTCCCTTTAATTATATTTAATTCAGTGTATTAGAATACTACGATAGTTAAAGAAAATTCTAGTTGATATTCTTTACTTTTTTAAAAAGAAAGTTTTAAATTTTATTGGTATATTTTAGGTATACAATATAATGACATTCATCATTGGAAATTTATACCTTTATATAATAAATATATCTTGATTCTTATTTTTTCCCCATTCCCCTGCCACTCCCTTCAACCCCTCCATCCCTCAATTTTCAGTAGATGATTTAATCTAAGCTTAGTTTGTATTCAAACTTGGATGTTGGATTGACTCACTGCAGATATCCCAGGTGTTTTCAGCATAAGAAGTATCAGCTAGGGAACTCAACTGCAATCATTTGAATATGCTTCTGGCACTCTACCATCTACTGTAGATTCTGGAAGCATCTGTTTGGTCAGCACACTGTGGTAAAAACCTGAGATGGCTATAGAACCACAACAGCTTTCTGAAAGAATATGACCTCTTAACACCACAAACACTTGTGATAAATATATTTTGATCAGGGCCAAGTATTTGGCTCAGTGGTTCTGCCACCTGCCTTGCAAGCACAAGGGCCTGAGTTCAATGCCTGGTACCCCAAAAACAAAACAAACAAACAAAATACATATATTATTATCATTATATAGAATATATATATAAATATATATATTATATATTTTTATCACTACCAAAAGTATAATTCCTCACACTAGCCTATACAGGATGTTTTATAATTTTAGGTATTCAATTGGAATGTTCTGAAATCTTGGTATCCTTTTTAATCATATTAATCCATTCGCCTTTATAGCATATTGGTTCCCTAGTTCTTTAGGCATCCAATAAAAATTTTTTAAAGTATAGTTGCTAAAATAAAATATTCAGATATTTAGAAAGTAAGCATTTAAAGTATCACATTTAACTAAGTACAGCTCTTTACTATTAAATCTATAATTGTGAAACATTTAAAGCAAAAAAAAAATGATAAAAGAACTGAACAAGATTCAGAAACCTTAGATTATAGTCCAGTTATCTGGTGATTAACATTTGTGATATTTAAGAAATAAATTATTTGGATATTGTCTTTTTCATGTGTGGCAATAAAGTTGCTTCCCTATCTTTTAGGTCTTTAAATGTGATTTTTCAGATTAATCATTTCATAGTAGTCTTCCTATTGGTATAATTTGAATGTGTAAATATGAAATGTATCGATATTGGCAAAAAACTTTCAACATGTCCTAAACAAGTAGCAATCACTCTTTTTTTTTTTTTTTTTTTTTGGTACCAGGGATTGAATTTGGGTCCTTGCACTTGCGAGGCAGATGGTGGCACCACTGAGAACGATTACTCTTTTCTCCTAGAAAAGCAAGTTTGAGTCACTTGAACACTTAACACGAAGTGGTTGCCTTTGGTGGCTGAAATTTGTGATAATTCTATTGATAAAAAATTGAAATAAACATTTGTTCTAACTTAAAATAGTAAACTCTTTATATTTTAATTTTAAGAGGTTGATAAAATATTAAGGTGGATGTCACATGATGAATGTTAGCTATGAAGACCCTAAATGAATAGAATTTCTTTTTGACTTTTTGCAGTATAACAAAATGCCCTTTTTTCAATAATTCTAATAAAATAGTACCTACCTGTGCAGGCTTTTTAGCACCAAGCTAATTTTTAGGAGGCAGTAATTTTTTAAGCAGTTAAAAATCATCTCAGGGGCCAGAGATAAAACTCAGTGGTAGAATGCTTGCCTAGCATGCAAATCATCTTTGAAATTATTTTAAGGAAAGAAGCCAAAGGCTATTCAGAAAATATTTGTTGACCAGAATTAATTTGTATCCTTAAAAGTAATGTTTTCAATAACTTGGATCTTCTTTTATTCTAAGCATCTTAATTAAGAATCAATACATTTCTGGCCACTTAAACAATGTAAAAAGTAAAATAAGTAAATAAATATTAGTAGCAATAGTAAACATTTTATTTAATCATTGATTAATCCACTGAACTTGAGACCTTTTTGATTTTTTTCTTTGGGTTGTTTAGGTAAAACCTCAGTTCCAAGAGATTTTAAGACTATCTGAAGAAAACATAGGTGAGTTGTTCACTATTGCTTTTAAAAACAACTGAATCTCTTTATCCAAGAAAAATACTGGCTTCCACATATGTGTATTACATTAAAAAAGTAGCAACTACAATAGAAAAGGAAAATTTATATTATGGAGTTTATAGTTTTACAACTGTGTCTTATCTAATATGCTTCCCATGTGGTGTTAGGAAGGTTAATCCTCTTTTGATTTGATGGTAAATATCTACTGTATCTTCATTGTAACCAAATTGATATAAAGTTCAGCTTCTTTGCGGGGGTACCGGGGATTGAACTTGCATCCTTGCACTTGCAAGGCAGACGGCAAAACCACTGAGTGGCCCAAAACTACACTAATCTTTTTTTTCCTTTTTGGCACCGGGGATCAAACTTGGGACCTTTGTGCTTTCTAGGCAGAGAGCGGAACCATTGAGCTAAATCCCCGGCCCGGGTTCAGCTTCTTAAACTAGGTGTTTATATTTGTAGGTTTGAAGTTGTATATTGAAGGTACTAAAAAATTGCCAAATCAAATTAATAATTTTTAAAAATTACATTAAAGGGCCGGGGATTTAGCTCAGTGGTTCTGCCACCTGCCTCACAAGCACAAGGACCCAAGTTCAATCCCCGGTACAAAAAAAAAAAATTAAAAAGAATGGAAAAGAATGAAAGATAATGTGTATGTTCAAAGTGAAATATATTTAAAGAAACTACAGGGTACTTTGTAGCTACTTGTTATAGCTACTTTGTACAGTTGTAGCCACTGTGTTGATAATTTTCACTGATCTATCAGTCTTCAAAAATCTACTTAAAGCACCATTAGCCCAAGAAACTGTTTACATATGGATATTGTATACCTCAATATCTTTCTAGTTTCTAGGAATAAATTGTGGAAAATGTTAGAAGGAATATATACCATTCTCCACCTTGTTTACCTGGTTGATTTTTTTTAATATGTAGATAATACTTGCCTATATCCTATCTTAATGCTTTAATGTGAGTCATTTAGAAAACTCCATTTTTGGCTTCTTAAGTCTAAAAACCTTAATGAGGACTTTTTTGGACAAATGCTTTCCCCAGAGTTATTTTTAATAGCTTTCTAAAGGGCTGATTTTTAGAATGCTTAATTGTTGATACCATATGTTCGTTATGCTACTTATTAATTATGATGAATTTGTGAAAAATAATTGAAATATTTGGGAAGACCTGGCTATATGTTCATTTAGGAGACTCACAGAAAATTCTAATTTCTGGTTATGGAGATAGTATACCATCTCATTTAGTTATTACATTTTTCCCCATCCAAAATGTTTATTCTGATGGCTTTTTAAGAAGCATTAAGTTATATTTTATGATAGAGTAGATATATGTTATGATCACATTTTCCAGAGTGATGAAAATTTTTGTAACCCTGTGAACAGTTGTAATTTAAATGTAATTTTATCAAGATGTTTTTATACCTAAAACATATTGGACTTTTAAAAATATTTTAATAATTTTAGATTCCTCAGCAGGAAATGGGGTCCTCACTAAAGCTACAGTCCCCATTTATGCAACAGGAGTCCTCACATGTTATATTCAGGTAAGTCAGAACTTCAGTACCTTCTATTTAGAAGGCCTTATAGTATGTCTTCTTGATGTGAAAACATAATTATAAGTGAAAATGTAACCCAGAGGAAAATTAAAATTTGTTTAGTTTATTAAATGAATACTTTATAATGGAGAATAAGTTTGAATTATAAGGCTTTTAGTAAAATATCAGTTGAAAAAATAAATTTAGACATTATGTGTTTTTTAAATATTTTGTTAGTGTTACATAACATTTAGCAACTTTTTTTGTGTTTATACATTTTTCATAAATAAATGACAGCACACATGTCAGGTGAAACAAACTGCAAAATGCTATGGAGAATGCTTTGTCATTATTTTTAGTAAAGTAGTTTATTTTTCTTAATTGTTACTACATAGTTACTGCCCCAAACCATAGTAGCTTGTAATAGTTATAAACTATTATATTTACTCATGATTCTACAATCTGGGCTTTGCCAAGCTGGCTTTTCTTCTGCTGATCTTCCTGGTGGTCACTTGTTTTTGATGCATTAAGCTGTCTTGTTGATGAGATCTTAGCTAGGGTGGGGGACCTCTAGGAGACTCTCTCTCCTCTTCTGGTCTCTAGAGCAGCAGAGCCAGAACTTATCACCTGTTTGCTACAGGCTCCTATAGATGGAAAAGTAGAATCTGCTAGACTAAATCTTAGATCTGGAATAAGTATATCATTACCTCCATGGCAGTCTACTAGTTAAATAAGTCATAAGCCCAACCCAGACTCAGGAGAAGTAAATTAAGCCAAGGTGTATACCAGGAGGTGTGGTTCTTTTGTTGCCACCATTGTAACAGACTGCCATGCTTTATTTACCATTCTTTTGAAAGCATGAGTAATTTTTAAGTGTGAGACATTCCCATTTTACATGGTCTCTTAGTAAACCATTTTTAGAAATCAGAATGTGAAAATGAAGAAACACCTTTTAAACCTTTCGTCTCCCACAATACTTCTTCTACACTTTGAATTCAAAGTACATCAATTCATATTTATTGCACTCTTCTTCCAGAACAGATTTGAATCATCTTAGAGTATTAAAAAGCTGTTTTATAGTATCACATAATAGTTTGCAATAGATGTTCCAGTTCTGCTAAAAAGCTCAGTTCAACATGGGTTTCTAAGATTGTAATATGGATACATACCAAATTATTTAAAGTCATTCAGTGTTAATAGATTGTCTCTATTGTTTTAAAATGATGAAGATCAATGATATTAGGTACTAGTGTAGGGCAAGACATAATAGTATGTGGACCATTCTCTTTAATTGTGAAGCTTTTCCGCATAGGAACAAGTTTCATATCTCTCCTCTTCCCCCCCTTCTCCCCCTTTTAAAGTTCTGTTAGTATTTTTATTTTGACCATAAATACCATTTTAAAACATAATAAAGAATCGGGTACAGGGTTTTGCCTATAGTAAGCCTTCAGAACAGATTTGCACAGTAAATTAACAAGGACGAGTCTTTTGAATCACTATAAAGTCCAAATGCATTATTTATATTTATAAAGAGATAACTGTTCAGCTCATTAAAATATTTAGTAAATTGAGGTAGTGAGAAAACATGCACCAGCAGTTAATATTTTTTCTTACTAAACACTGTTTTTGGTTTTTGGTTTTGTTTTTGTTTTTTTGGTACTAGGGATTGAACTCAGTACCTTGTGCTTGTGAGGCAGGCAGCAGCACCACTGAGCTAGCACCCCAGCTAAACACTGTTTGTGGTAGTAAACACAACTATCGTTAATCAAATACATAAACAATATTATTTGTTTTAAGATTTGAAAAATGAAATTATAGTAAATTTTCAAAAAAATCAATATCTGTGCTCATTTAGAACTATTTTGTCACTTCTTTATAATTTGTTCTCCAAAGTTATTTCTACTATTTATGACATGGTAGATAACTAAAAATGAGTGAAGTCTCTTTTCCAACTTTACTTTGATGCTGATACCTTTTCACTAGATTGACTATCATGTTTTAAAACTGCTATGCCCTTCCTTTTTCATATGAACTTTTTGTGTGTCAGTCCTTCACTTGACCTCTCTCAAAGCTAACTTCTATTAAAAAGAAATGATATATAGTAACCCAGTCCTCCTCATGGATCTTTCAATATATTCAGAAGCTATTTATTGTTGACTTAATGACAACTTGATCTTAACTTCTCAGATATGTATTTCTTGTTAGAATGTCACTTTCTTTTTTCTTACAGATTTTAGATTAATTTAAGTGCAGTGTTTTTCTTACATTTCCTAATTTTGCAGATTTGGTTTTGCTAACATTTCTTAACAAAAAGAAAAAGTATTTTCTGCTGGTCATGGTGGCACATACGTGTAATCCTAGTACTTGGGAGGCTGAGGCAGAAGGATTGCCATGAGTTCAAGGCCAGCCTGGACGTACATAATGAGTTCAAGGCCATTTTGAAGTGCATAGAGAGACTACCTGCTCCAAAAAATATCATATGTGGAGTAATGACTACCATATTGAACAGCACAGGTCTAAATCAAAGAATAAAGTTTGTCTGTATCATCATACCACTGGACATAGATGTGTTTACCATAGGACATTATCATAGATAGACTTAATATTAAAATAGTTTTCATTTTCTAATTAGAATATTTTCCCCATGTTTGGTAGCATTTTCTAATTGTAGGTAGGTAATTATGATATTAGTACTACTTTATTGCTTTGAAATTCAGTATAAGTATTTTTCCTCTATAGGAAGAAGACCGAAAACTGTTAGTTGGATTTTTAGAAGATGTAATGACTCTGCTTTCATTGTCTCATGCTCCTCTTGACAGCCTGAAGGCTTCCTTTGTGGAACTGGGGTAAAACAAAATAATAGTTTATAGTTTTTTTTTAATGGCATATAAAGGAAAAAAATAAAAGATTCAGGAAAAAATATCAAACAGAGAGAAGCCCCAGGATGATGGTAATGCGACGTTACACTCTTTAATAGTTTTAAAACTGTCCAAAGCAATACCCATTGAGATTGAAACAAGAGGGTTTTCAGAAGGGGGAGTGAAAGGGCTGTTATATGCTTAAACAGTTAAGACAAAATAAAGAAACAAATAATTAAAAGGCTTATGAAGCCTGACATGGTGGCACACACCTGTAATCTAATTCTGGGAGGCTGAGACAGGAAGATTACAAATTTGAACCCAAACTCGGCAGCTTAGCAACTTAAAGAGACCCTGCCTCAAAATTTAAAAATGAACTGGGGATGTCCTTCAGTATGATGGCCTGGGTTCAATCTCCAGTATCGGGGGGGTTCAAATTGGATTTGTAGAATAAATATGTTTTAAGTCTATACAACAATTCTCTTGGTTTTGGTTTTTGACTTAACTTTTTTTAATTTTTTCCTTATGTGGAAATTCGTAATGTTTTATAATCAACACTTTTTTAAATGGGATAAAGAGTACATATGCATGTGTTCTTTGAAGTAATTGGAAAAATTAAATCAGGAAAAGTTTCAAAAAAATACAGCTTCTACAACTGAAAAGGGTGCCTCAATTGAAAGTGAGATCCTTATTCTTTTGTTTAATTTGCTTAGTCCTGCTGATAATTACATCATCTGGTTGCTAAAGTAACTTTATCTCAGTCTTTACTGAAAACAGGCATATATATACGGTTGTTAAACATACCATCTCATATATAGATAAGCTTCATAAAACATAGCCATCTATATGTATGGTTTGAACTTATTTGAACCTACTGCAACTTGTGGCATAAATAGGAAATTTATTGTTTCTTCATTGTTTATAGATACCACAGTACACCCACAGGAGTCTTAGTCCAGGGCTCTTCCCTATTTTGTTATAAATTATATTTTTCTTTAAAAATTTTGTCTCTATTAAAATTTCTGTCACAATTGCAAATGCGTAGAGAAACTAAAAGTGTAATTTCTGAATATGATTTGTTGTTTTATAAGGTGACTTCTTTTTTAAAAGACTCTTAGCTGTGGCCTACTAAACCATACCGTGTATTTCTATGTGTTCTGCTGCTATTTTTGAAATTAATATTTCTTATACTTAATGTTTTTCAGTGCACATATAAGGCACTTTGGCTGTGTATTTTGACACTAATATTTTTCTTGCAGTGCAAATCCAGCCTACCATGAGTTACTGTTAACTGTTTTGTGGTATGGTGTTGTCCATACTTCAGCACTTGTGAGATGTACTGCTGCTAGAATGTTTGAGGTATGTTACCCTGTGCTTATATTGGTTCCAGTTATGATTTTTTTTCTTCTTCTTCTTATTTATTTTTTTTTAGTAGAGAGAGAAGGGCAAGTTTCTTTAAGCAAGCTTTATATACTGTATTGTGTTAATATAGTTTATGGATTTAAATATTGTCTAGTTGTGTACTGTGTGATGGTGCAGAAGTTTAGATTTAATGTATTTAGAGTATTCTAGCTTTTTTGGCACCTTAAATGTTACTCTCAGTTCTAGTTCTCAAATTTTGTTTTAAATCTTATTTTTAATTTCCATCCTGTATAAATCTTTCTGGCTCTGTGCTTCTACTTACTGAGGTAAATGATTACTAAAATAAACTAAAACAACATAGGGTATCTTTCAAGTTGTTGATTTCATTAAAAGCATTTAAAAAATCAACTATTGCAATTAGGGAAATACTTATTTTACTCATTCATACTACTTCACTGTCCTTCACTATTCCTTCTGGAATAACACTCCTATGCATTAAATGTCTGTAGACTGATGAATTTACCGTAATTTCATTAAATTGTGTACCCACAGACATTAAACATGAAAACTGAGGTATTATCTATATTTAGTCCCCATAAAATAGGAAATTATGTCATAGACTATTATATATTTATAAATATATGTGTCTTGAACTTTAATTTGATTATGCTAATTGGCTTAGTGTTTCTTGGTGCTTTTGAGTTACCATAGAGTCAGGCTGCCTGGGTTCAGTTTCCATCTCTGCCACCTAGTGACCTAGTAAGTTACTTGGGCAAATTTGAACTTCTCCACAACTTAGTTTCCTCATCTACAGAATGAAAAACATAATAAAAAAGTACCCATTTCACAGAATTTTGTTAATATTAAGTAAATTAATGTTTTGAAAGCTTTTAGTGCATTGCCTGGAACATAAGAGCTTATACATGTTTTATTTCACACGATAATAGGGAACATATACTTATTAAAACTAAAATTGTTCCTAGTGTACATGTGAGTCTTAACTGTCTTTTTTTTTTTTTTTTTTTTTTTTTTTTTTTTTTTTTTTTTTTTTTTTTTTTTGTACCAGGGATTGAACTTGGGTCCTTGAGCTTGCCAGGCAGGCCACCGAACCACTGAGCTAAATCCCTGGCTTAACTGTCTTAAAGCAGTTATTTCCATAAAAAGAATTGAGTAATTTAGTCTTCTACAGTTTTGTAATTTCACCACAATCTAAGATAAATTGCAGTTGGAAGGCGAGGCTACTGATATGTTTAAAATACTTGCCTTTAGCTGAGTGTGGTGGTGCACACCTGTAATCCCAGCACTGGGGAGACTAAGACAGGAAAATTGCTGTGAGTCTGAAGCCAGTCTCAGTTACATAATCAGCTCAAGGCCAGCCTGAACTACATAATGAGACCTTATTAAAAAAAAAATTGCCTTCTAAAATTTATGAGTATATAAGTTACATTCGTGAAATCTAAGGAAAATGCATTCTTAATAGGAGATTGACTCTGTCCATGTCATTCTCTTAGGTATTACATTTTTTATCAAAGATCTGTAATCAAGGGCTCTTTGTCAAGATGAATGCCAACAGTTTACTTTTATGTCTAGTACAAGTTCCTTCTAGGTATTAATTTTGATTATGCAATATGCTGAAAAGACACATTACTATGAAAGAAAATTCTTCATTTCTGTCTTGCCCCTCAAAAGGAGAAAACATTCTTATAAATGAAGAGTGAAGAGATTTTTTTCTTTCTCTCTCTTTTTCTTTTTTTGTACTGGGGATTGAAACCAGGGCCTTTACACTGAGCTACCAGAGTGCTGGGGTGGCAGGTGTGCAGCTCCACGCCTGGCTAAGAGAGATTTCTTTAATACATTCTCTTCATGAAACTTTATTCAAAGATCATGAAGCTATTTATTTCCTTAAACTCTTAGTTTCTAAAATGTATGTATGTACTGATGAAGCATACCATATAAATGAAAAAGTTTAAATAAAATGAAGCTTCCATTTTTTTGTTTGTTTGGTTGGTTTTTGTTTGTTTTGTCTTTCTGCCTTGTATCTTATATGTGGTCTTTGTCTGATTTTGATTTCTGTTTGCTGTTAGTGCTGGTCTGGAAACCATACCTGTGCAAAAGCATTTTTAGTGTGGAATGTTCCTTATGAACTTGAGTCTAGTTGAGATGCTACTTGAGTATTTCAAATTCATTATCATGAAATTTTACTGAGGGCCTGAAATTTAACTCTGGTGTTTCACCTGGCTCGCAAGCACAAGGTCCTGAGTTTGATCCTTGGTTCAGGGAGTTGGGGGGCGGTAATTTATTGAGCATTATCAGTAAGTTGTTAATAGTTACTTTTTTTGTTAATGATCCTAATTTTGAACAAAATTATATTTATAAAATATGGTTCAGAAGATTTCCTTTTATATTTCCTAATTTAGAATTAGGCCTGATCTCCCCCAAAGTGAGTTCATTCAAAATAAAAACATTAAAAAAAGCATACTTAAAATAACTTTTCAAAAAGTGAAACCAATATCTCTTGAGAAATAGATATATCAAGAACCTAGTATGAAATACTTACTGAAGAAAAACACCAAATTTAGCTTAATTTTTAGATGGAAGGACAAAAAATGGATAATCAATTACATTTATCTCATTTTTAAGTAAGAGGGTATATCTTACCTTTTGAAGCAGCAACTTAACAAAATGATTGTAGAATACCTTACTATGTGATTCTTAGCATGACATCGTGGATTTCCCAAAAGATGTATGAAAGAACTTCCTATAATTATTTCTTATATCAGTCATGAGGAAAGTGATCCTCTAATATTAGACAACTTATAGAAGATTTAAATATTATCAGACAAGATTGAGTCCATTTTTGCCCCACCAATTTTTGGCTCTAATACCTTGGACAAATTAACTTCTCCAAGCTTCAATTTCTTCATCTGCTAAAATTTTGATGATATTTTTACTTAGTTCATCAGATAAAAGATCAAATGATATATTGTGTGTAAAAAATCATAGCTCTTAGTTTACTTTCTGATTTTCTAGCTTAATTAAAGGAATTAAACTTAAAACCCAAGAGCAATGAAAAGTTAACTTGTCTCCTAGATTATTCTCTTTTTTTAATGCTTTTGGTGGGAGTAAGATAGCTGATATTTCCAGATAAATTTTACTGATTCATATCTAAGCTATCTTATTTCTGATACAGAGAAGAAAGTTTTAATTGGAAGTATTTGAACTTCCTTGTCCTGTTGTTACCTAACACCTGCAATATGTAAGGGAATAGTAAAAGTTCTGTCATTTTATTGGTGCCTAGTTATGTTTTTTCATAAAAATTATTTCAGAATAACAGAGTAGATTCTAACATAAATCAGTTAGTAATTAGTAACAGAAATATTCCAAAATTAAGTATGCACATAAAGTGAGCTATTGCTCTAATGTGCTGTATAGGCAGAATATACAACAATAGATTTTTATTAAAAATTCTGTGGCATCTTTGATCTGTGAAGATGAGTTCCATTACTAGGTGAACAGGTTGGTTAGCATTTAGGATTAATTTGTGCTTACATTCTGAAGTTGAGGAGGGAGTAAGCTCAAATTTTTAAAATATTTGTAGAAACAAATGCTGCTCAATATGGTTCTCTTGTTTGCAAATTAGTTTTGTTTTCTAAATGAATTATTTTTATAATTAGATATAGAGTCAGGTTAATTCTATTCATCATATTTTTAAATCTATATGCACGTTTTAGAGAAATATAAAACAGGTTAGAGGTTAACTTCAACATTTTTAAATTTAATATTTTTCCAAATATATCACAGATCATATAGTTTTTATCTGGCATGGTGGCACACACCAATAATACCAGCACTGAGTATTGGGAGGCTGAGGCAGGTGGATCCGAAATTTAAGCCTACCCTGGGCAATGTAGGGCCTTACTGAGACCCTATCTCAAAAATAAAATAATAAAAATAAAAGGGCTGAGAATGAAGTTTAGTGCAAAAGCCCTGGGTTCACTCCCCAGTTCTACAAAACACTGTGTGTGTGTGTGTGTACATGTACATTTTTAAGTAGTCACAATAAATGCTCATTTCTTGAATGCATACTCTTTATCGTGCACAGTACTTTAGTACATGCAAACTAATAGCACAATAGTGCCTTGAGTTAGATGATAATATCACCATTTTCAAATGTGAAAACTGAGTTTCAAGAGATTATGTGATATACTGTATTTAGGACTGCAAGGCTAATAAGTGGAGAGAACTGGAGTCTGAACCCAGAGCTGATTTCTAAGTGTTATACTTCAAGAATATTTTGCTGGTCTGTACTTCAAAAGAGAAAGTTATGTGATTTAAAAGGTTGGGAATTTTTCTGTGTGATTTTTAATTTACTTGCCATAGAATAGTTGTAACTGCTAGCCATTTGAGTTTGGTTTAAAATCAGCCCAGTTTGTACTTTGTTGGTCATAATAAAATCATACCAGGTTTGTTTTGAGAATTTTAACCATACAAAATATGTGTCCTCTTCTTAGCGCCTTTGTTAAAGAAATAAAATTTTCAGGGCCGAGGATCTAGCTCAGTAGTTCCGGCGCCTGCCTCGCAAGCACAAGGGCCCGAGTTCAATCCCCGGTACCAAAAAAAAAAAATCCATGAAATAAAATTTTCTTTTACATTGCATTTTAATTGAACATGGAAATTAGGTAGACTTTTTGACCAAAAGTACAAACTGCCATTGAATTGGTGATAACATCTCTTTTTGTGGACCGCTAGGCTATGTAAGCTTTATTTTCCTCCTAAAGCATTCTCTGCCTTTGTAAACATTCTGGTAGCAGTTTTTGCTTAGCTTCTAATTTTGGTTTTGCTTTTGTGTTTTCTCTCTCTTGGTTGTTCCTTTCTTCTTCCCCATGGCACACTGTGTTTGCTCTTTCCATGCATCACCTGTGAATACCCCCTGCGCTGACCAATCAGCTGTTGGTGAAGGGGGTGAATGAAACTCTGGTAGCTCAGAGAGTTGTTCCTGCTCTCATTACTCTCTCCAGTGACCCTGAAATGTAAGTGTCATCCCTGCTTTTTACATTCAGCATCCCTTTCAAAATGAGCCTGTCAGGAAATAACCATCAGCTCTAAAATTCATTCAAGAATCTCTTTAAAATAATAGTATTGGATTATGCTTGATTTTAGACTTTATTGTCTTACTATTTGTATATCTTGTTATGTTTTAAATCAACCTTCATGGCAAGCCTAATTGGGAGGCAATGTATTAGAAAAAAAGAATATTAAAAGCTTTTTCAAAACTTAAAACATGCTGATGGACTATTTCTTCCAAGCCAAGAAAGGATGCTCTGCTAATCTTATTAACAGGTTGTTCCCAGTAAGTGTAGTGGCATGAACCAGACATAACATTTTAATGTCTCATGTGGGTGACTAAACCAAGAAAGGCCAATGAGTCTGCCTGCCCATCCTCAGTCACAGCTAACCCAGTTCTCATTCCAGTTTACCAAACCATTTTTTATTGCATGTTGACTGGTTTACAGCTGACTCTTCGAGGCATGAGTGAAGCGTTAGTTGACAAGCGGGTTGCTCCGGCCCTTGTTACCTTGTCCAGTGATCCTGAATTGTGAGTTTCTTAGACTGCGACCTTAAGTTCCCTGCCTGTCTTTTTGAGCATTCTTCTTGGTTTGCTTTTTAAAAAATTTAATTTGTCATTGCTAGAGACTAATACAGTATTTTTGCCTTATACTTACTTTGATGCACATTTTAATAGTATACATTTTTAAAATCTCAAAGTTCAGTTTCTTTCTTTTTAAATTTCTAACAGCTCTGTCAGAATTGCCACAATTCCAGCCTTTGGCACTATTATGGAAACGGTTATTCAGAGAGAGGTAGGAAATCATTAAAATTTATTTATATCTATGTACTGTTAGAGTAATTGATGACAAATTAGCATACACATACCTCAGGATAAAGGCAAGGAGAATCATACCTCTTCATTGGTAAGGGCCAGAGAAGGATCTCAGTATTTAAAAACAGGATACCCTAACTGAATAATAGGTAGATTTCCCCATTCTATGAGCTAGTCTATATTCCAGGAGGGCTATTCCATATTCCATAGCTCTAGTCTTCTCAGCTTAAATGTAGGCTAACCCTTAGATGTTCTATTTTAAGCCTAGCTAAGTACTGCAGTTTTGAATAATCTTTCACATCAAGTCTAGTTCCCAAACCTTCCATTATTCCATAGACTTCTGGCCAATCTAAAGTTTTGATTGCCAGTTTCCACAAATTTAGACTGTGTTACCATATAACATCAGGGACACAAATTTGTTTCATTTTCACATATGAAGGAAGGCAGGTGCAATCATGTATTCTAACAACTATGTCATTGAAGCTTTAAAAGTCATCTAGTAGACTACAGTCTGCCATCTTGTTATGGCGTATATCACTGTAAAACTTGTCTGTGTCTCCTTTCATAAAACTAACAAGGTCTTCCTCCCTAAAGGTATATTTTGATTATGAAACTAATTTCATTTCAAGTTTTTTAAAGCAATTCTATTTGTAACATTGACTATAAGATACTTTTCAAAATTAGTGTCAAGATGTCTTGTTTTTGTTGTTACCATGTTGAACATGTTCTTATACAAATGAAGAACCCTGTATGTTAGGAGATAAATTATTTGTGCACATACTGTCTAGTCACATAAGTGGAAAACAGTTTTCTCCATTTGATGGACATTTTATTTGAAAAAAGAAAAAATTCAATGAAAATTTTCAGATTTCTATAAAAATTTTAAATTTTGTTGTAGAAAGAAATACTTTCCTTTTTTAAATTTACTTGTCTGTCACAGAGAAAAAGGATATCATTCTGCATTGCTTGCAGTTTTGGCACAATTTCAACATGTTCTTAAATCCTAAAATAAAAGTCTTCTAGGGAAACATGAGTAAGATATAACTCATTGATGACTCACTGCTTGCAAGAGGTGAATAACTGAGTAACTTACACTGTAATTTATTTTAAGAATTATATGTTAGATATAAAATCATCATAAAATGATCTTTTCCTAAATATGGGATATTTTCCTTTTGTTTTAAAATCTTGTCAGTGAATATTTGTATTTTTTAAATAAATTAAGAATTATTAACAAGCATAAAAAGTAGTGAAACCTTTTCTGAGCTAAAAGACTATATAAGTACTTCATTAATTCCACATTTTTACTATCATGGAGTTATACATCTGTTGAATACCCTGCTGCAAGTAATGTTTAATGTGTATCTTTCACTTGAACCACACTATTCAGTTTTTAATATTCTATAAAATGACTACAATATCTACTCTTTAAGTTGCTGGAAAGAGTGAAAATGCAGTTGGCTTCTTTCCTGGAAGATCCTCAGTATCAAGACCAGCATTCTTTGCACACAGAGATAATAAAAACATTTGGTAGAGTTGGACCTAATGCAGAACCCAGGTTCCGAGATGAGTGTAAGTTGCATTTTTTACCTTTATCATAAATTGTAAGATCACAACTAAAAACTTCTCTGAGGATTTGTCATGTTAAAGCCTTGCTATACTTTATCTTTTGTGTACTGAGAGCTGAACTGAAAACAAGTCTTTTTTGTAAGTTGATCACTATTGTTTTTAGTGGATGGTTTCGTGTACTATGTACCAGTTGCTATAAAATTTATGAAATGTAACTCTAAAGTTATAGTAGAAATGTATCAATAACTGTTCACTGTAAAAACTGTTCACTGTGATGTTATGTTTAGAGGGGTTTTTTTTATTTTTAAGAAAAGTTTTATGTGTTTCTAGACTTGTCCTTACAGGAAATATATATTTGTCACATTTACCGTGCCATCAGCACTACACACCACTTTGTTTTGGGTCACAGTTTGTAGATTGCTTAAGTGATCTGCATGATTATTTTAAAGCCTTCACTCTAATTTTTTTTTCTTTTTTGTGGTGCTGGGGATTAAACCCAAGACATAGGGCATGCTAACCAAGTGTTGTTGTACCACTGAGCCACATCCCAAGCCCTTTTTTTTTTTTTTTTTTTTTTTGGTACTAGATATCGAACTCTGGTCCTTGCACTTGCGAGGCAGGTTGCAAAACCACTGAGCTAAATCCCTAGCTCTAATTTGTCTCTTTACTGCAGGTTTCCACCTTTTTTTTGAGCAGCATCAAACATCTAGGAATTATTACTCCAAAAGTATATCAATTATCACTGCTATACTTCAGCAGTTTTATTGTTAGCAGTTTTACACGCCTTCAGGAGGCCCATCACATCAGCCACTTAGAATCATTTTTGTTTCTAGTACAATATTGGAGTCTGCAATAGACTAATTATTCCATATTCAGCCCAAAGTATGTCTTACCATTTTAAAGATAAAAGTCATCAACAAAAAAATATTAAGTCAATATTTGGACTGTAGTGTTCAGAAGGCCTGTTGAGGACATGGGTAAGTACCAAACTATAGGAACACAAATAGTAGCATTCTTTTTCACTGGATATTTTCATAATTATCCAAGCAACAAGAAAAGATTGGTATTTTAGTTAGAAGTAGACAGAGTCTCACATGTTATCTTGTAGATAATCCTAGTAGGGGGTCAGAAGATACTTCTACTTCACTGAGGTGTTTACTTCACTAAGGCCAAGAAAGTTACTCTTAGTTTCTGGATTGAAAAATAAGTGAATTGTAATGGTGGCTTGTGCCTTGATGTTCAGTTAAAACCTTTTTATGAACATTCAAAAGAGAGATTTATGATAAGCTAGGAAGAATCAATCTGTGTTGCTATAGGCTCAGCTCCATTTATTTTGATATATCTTTACAGTCTTTTGTCTTCAGTAATGTTAGGACTATAATTATTCCTCAAATCAAACATAATATCTGAATCTTAATGTCTCTTTCTAGAATTTTCACGAACTTTTAGAGGTAATCATGTTACTAAACAGCTTTATTTATGAACTGGATACCTACCTATTACATTTATTAAATGTAAAGAACTATGTAACAGAAAATAATTTTTTCTCTCAAAATTGTCCTAAAGTAACAATTAAAAGTGGACTTGGGCTGGGAATGTAGCTCAGCAGCATTATCTGCCTGAACAAGAATAGATCTTTAAAACTATTATCCTTAAAGCCTCCTACAACTTAGTGTATACTAGCAAATAATATATCTGATATAATCTTTAACACTCTGTCACAGCTGGACCTTTTTTTGCGGGGGAGGTACCAGGGATCTAACGTGGGTCCTTGCACTTGCGAGGCAGGTGGTGGAACGATTGAGCTAAAATCCCTGGCCTTTTTTTTTTTTTTTTTTTAATTATTCTCCTCCCTGCCTTTATTTCTTTGAACTTATTTCCCAGCCAAATGGATTGGTTTTTGCTTTAAAAGTTTATCCTAATTTAATGTTCTATATTATGATAAGCAGAAAACTGGTGGCACGACCCTATAATCCCAGCTCTGAGGGAGGCTTAAGGCAAGAAGATTGCAAGTTTGAGTCCCAGCAGGGCAATTTAGCAGGACCCCTCAAAATAAAAACTAAGGACTGAAGATGGTTCAATCCCTTGTACCACAAAACGAAGGAAGGAAGGGATGGGAGGGGAGGGGAGGGGAGGGGAAGAGAGGAGAGGTGAAGAGAGGAGAAAAGAGGGGAGGCAAGGGAAGAAACCAGGGGACGAAACCAGACCCCACGAAACACAGCAGGCCTTATGATACCTGGAAAAAAAATCATAGCAAAGTAAAATCCATATCAAAGAGAATATTATTTATAGATAGTCCCCTTCAGGAGTTTAGAGGAAAGACGAAAATTTCAAGGTCTTAATGTCATTGGAGAGTAGCATTTTGGGTACTTTGATTTTGTGTGTGTGTGTGTGTGTGTGTGTGTGTTGTTGTGAAAAAAATTTTGGTCATTCTATTTCTTAACTAATAGAGAACATTAGTTCTTTCATTATCCTGAGTTTCTTTCTCTGTTCTTAAGTTATCCCAAGACTTTTGATCTTAATTTTAAGGACCAAATGTTTTATCTGGAACACTATGTAGTTTCTTGTTTTCAGCTATTTAATTTTATAAGACTTTTTGAAAATATTCAATCGTACTTTGAAGATCTTCTTAAGGGTCAGTTCTCCATTTCTTTTTTTTTTTTTTTTTTTTTTTTTTTTTTTTTTGAGTACCGGAGATCAAACTGAGGACCTTGGGTTCACCAGGCAGGTTCAGTGAGCTAAATCCCCAGCCTGGTGTTCCATTTTTTAGTAGTCTTTTCTGAGTTCGTTATCTCAGTCCTGTATATATTACCAAAAAATAAGTAAATAAAATGACAAAATTTCCTGTACTTTGGCTTTTGGATCTATCTTAGAATACTTTTAGAAACTTAGAAGCAGAAGTAAGATACTAAGGGAAAAATCAATCAGTTCATCTATGGGTTGGTCTATTTTGTTTGCAATTTTAAGTCTCTAATCTGCCCTTTAAAAAAGACTTCTGCAGTGGTCTTATATTGCTTATTTCCTATTTTTATTTCCCACTAAAAGTCAATTTCAGAATTATGCCCACCTAGTTTATTAAACCTTCTGGTCTTTAATGTCCTACTGCTTTTAACCATTTAAATCCATTTGATGGATAAGTGAATTAATTATACAGATACAGCCCAGTATAGTATATAAACACTAAAATCTTGGATTTTGCAGTGATTCATATATCTTGTTGAGAATTAGGAAGACCCTTACTTTAACCCTAGATTCAAATTTTAAATTAACTTCTGTAGATCTGTCTTCTAGCAAGGCAATTTTAAGGGGTGTAATGCAGTATAATTGTTCCATTCCTGAGAAAACTAAGCAAAGTTCAGAAAAAGAAGGAAAAAATGGGCCGCGCGTGAGTAGACAAAGTATATGAGGAAAGTAAGTTTCAGAAGGCTTGAGGAAAAATGAGCTACTCTGACTTTGGTGGGAGAAACTAAGATTCACCATTTAAATGAGACCTTGATATACCAGTTAATGAAGCTGACAACTGAATGTTTGGAGATTTTGTCTCCTAATTTTTTTCTAGGGCTTATCTAAAGAATACTACTACTCATTTTAACAAGTCAAAAAATCACCTAAAAATGACAATTTTAATTGTTTTTATAGGGTTTGTTTTGTTTTGTCATTTACTAAGGTAGCAAGGAAGTTGTGATTATAGTCTTAGTTTATTTAGGAAGCAGAAATTTTTCCAAGGGAAGACTGTTGCATTTACATACAAAAGCTTGTTGCAAAAGAGAAAGAGGTTGCTATAGTTGGTCAATAGTCTGTGCTAATGGAATGGTATTTTGTATTCCCTAACCAAGCAAAGACTAGAAAGGGGCCATGTGAAACAACATTTTAACAATTACATTACTGACTCTGAAACCATGTCTTCAAAGAATCCTGGTTTTACTGAGAAATGATATTCAGATAGCACAATCTTAGGCACAATAGGGATCATTGCTGCTGCATTGTATATTATTCTTGGACTATTGCTTTTATTTTCACAGTAGGCTGTGTTTTTTAAATCTTAAATTATTCTTTGAAAGTATTAAGCCCATTTGGGTGATTTGAAGACTTAGCTATCAGTGCTACTTGACATTGGTATTTGCTAATAATTTGATAAAGCGAAGGTAATAATAGTAGTATGAAGGACTGAAATAAGTTATTATTGAAAAAAGAATAAGTGTATTGTATTTATCTTTAATATGTTGGTAATTTTTGTAAAGAAACTTCCATAAGGACCGATAGCATAAGATAGAAGTTGTACATATTTGTTTTGCATTGTTCAAATTCGTGAATTAATAGTGAAGCCAAATTACCTACAGACAACCCCACAATTAGTTAATATAACAGTGCTATATAACCTTTCTCATAATTTCTTCCCTTCTAAGAAAAGGCAAACATACAATGTGGGTAGTCTTTGAAAGCATACAGCATTAAAATGAACTTTTATATATTAGAATACTTTTTTGAAAATTATTAGAGTTTAGATGTACGTTTGAGATTAAAATTTAACTATTTTTTCTTTTTCAGTTGTTATACCACATTTGCACAAGTTAGCTTTGGTGAACAACTTACAAATTGTAGATTCTAAAAGACTGGATATTGCTACCCATCTTTTTGAAGCCTATAGTGCACTCTCCTGTTGTTGTATCCTTGTTTCATTAAAGAATTGTATCTACCTTTATATAACCAGTTTTACAGTGAACCTCATTTGTGAAAGATTGAGAACTTTTTTCTTAAACTTATATAAGTATTATAGTAAACTGAAATTTTGGTTTGATCTGCCCTACTGCTTATTCTAGCCATCTTATAATCTTTAAAAATTATTTTAAAATTTCTGTTTATGTATTCTGTGGTTTCAAAGACACTGAGTTTTTTTAATGTAATGTTTTATGTTGTATTTATTATATGGAAGAAATGAACAGAATGAATTATAGCTGAGACTTCTGTTAATCAAAAGGAAGCTTTATATCTGTTTTGGCATTTTGATTTTTCAATGAAGTTTAACTATCAGTATCCAGCAGAATGCTATGGATTTTTCTTAGTGAGTTATCACTCCTTAGAAAAGTACAGAGCCAACATTACTAATCATCTCCAGTGATTACAGAAGAGGGAAGGAATTTAGAAATCATGTAGGTCCTTATCAACCTCTGTTTTGTAAATGATTAAAGCAAGACTTAAAGGCATTAATGACTTCTGCTTTTTAGTTAAAAGCAAAACTGTAATGAGAACAAAGAACTTTAGCCATCCTGTAAAATGTTCTTTTACTGTCCTCCACCTAGTAAAATAAAGCCAAGAAGGAAGTGAAGATGGGCAAAGTGAATTCCAGTTTCTACAATCTCTATTAAAGGGCAAAGGAGTTCAGAAAAGAGGAAATAAGAGATTGACCAAAGAATGAAAGTCTGAATAATCAAATGAACCTATAAAAGCACATGGTAGGCTACATAATCAGAGAAACATGATTATGGCAGGAAAAAATGATGGTGAAGCTTCCTAGATTCATAAGAAAAAAAAAAGAACCAAGAAAGAGTTTAAGGATTATTAATGATTCCTAGACTTTGTATGCTAGTTCATAGTCATAAACAAAGTGAGCAAGCAATTTTAGATAATTATGTTCTAAAATTCCACTGTGGTTCATTGGCACTGGACTTTTGACTGACTGGACTATACCAAGAGGTTATTTGTTCAAAATAAAGTACATAGGAAGAGTAGAAAAGTAAATCATGTTAAGGAGCTACATGCTTCTTTTGAAATGTTCATAGATGCATTGTTGAATGTATTTGATTTTAGCAATCTGCTACAAATGATATATTCACATAGATAATATAACCATATTTTTTGGTAACAGCAGAGCCATCATGTTTTCATAGTCTGTTACCTCAACTACTCATGTCTCCTATAGGTTTAATTCCACTAAAAGCAGAACTTACTATCATTCCTGATTTATCTTGTTGACTTTTCAACTTAATATAATATAGAGGAAGCAAAAAAGGGAACTGATATTCTGAATGAGCAAGGAAGAAATACTTTAATAATAGAGAAGTGACAGTATCCTTGCAAGAAAATAATAATAGCATGCAGAGTTGTATTTCAAAGAAAGAAAAGATTGGTATGATTATTAGAATTTCTGAAAGATATTAAAAACTTAAGCCACAGGCCATGTATAGTTTCTGAAGAAATAGGCCGCAATGAAAATGGAAAAGTTAAAAAATAAAAACTTAGCTCTGTAAAGTCAGATTTTCCAAGTAGGAAAGGCACTTGTTTTTAAAGAGCATAGCTAGTGAAATATATTATTATATGTCACAATATGTACAGACTATTTCTTGAATAAATGCAATAAAAGTCTTTTATCAGTACAGCAAATGAAAGGACCATCTTAAGAATTTGTACCTAAGTCAACAGAGTAGTGTGGTTACTAATAAAATCATGTTGCCCAAACCTATCCCTTTATATTCTAACCTGATCAGAACATGAGTATTCCTTTCATCACTGACATCATATTTTAATAGAGACATAGAAAAATTATAATGTGTAATATTTGGCATAACAAATCAGGAAGTTGTATTTAAGACAGATTGAAGAAATTTAGAAATTCTTAATCTGGAGAATGGATAGCTTGGGATGAAAAGATACTTGACATTTACTTGACAGGTGATTCTATAGAAGGAAGGTTAGGCACTCTTTGTGGCTAAAGCACAAGCTGAGGTTATAGTAAGGCCAATTTTGTTTACAAGGAAAACATACTCATAATCAAGCTATCTAAAAATGTAACCAAGCTATCTTCCAAAACTGAATCTCAAATTAGCAATCAGAGGACTTTTGATAATTGTTCATTAATAAGTTTGAAGTAACTTATAATACCAAATAACCTGTAAATTTCCAGTACTTGAAAGATTGTGTGATTTCATGGGGAAAATGTAGGCCCTGATGATAAGCAGAAAGAGAAAAGAGAACTTCCCTCTTCCTGCTGAAAAAAAAAAAAAGTATCTTGAACTTCTCAATCCATAGATCACATTCTTTACTAAACCAAAGGTCACTCACATTTGTATCTGAGTGGTACTTTCCCCATATCTAGAAAACAAGACTACATAATCATAAGGTTTCAGCCCTCTTTATATCCATTTTTATTCCCTTGAGTTTATAAGTCACTCATTATTGGTGCTTTGTTTATGAAGTTTTTATTTAAAACTTTTTAAGGAAGTACTCATATATTACACTGATTATTTTTCACAAAATTTGCTAGTTTTTTTCAAAAAGATTAATTAAACCATCTTTAAAGAAATGTTTCATTTTATGTATGATGTTAAATCAGAACTATTTTTAAATAACAGAATAAGGTGAGAATATGCCAGAATTGATGTGAATAGACAAGTTGAATTGTTTCCTTGAGAAATACATTTGCTGTTCTGATCCTTTCGAATGTCAAAATGATCAGCAAAGATAACCAGGAACAATATGTAATACTAAACTTAAAAACAAATGCTCTTATTACAACCAACATTCTGTTGGTCCAGTTTACTCACGACCAGTGGAAAGTCAGTTTAACAGGGTAGTTAAAATAGTAATCAGGATAACAGTATATACCTTAGATAACTACTTTAAAATATATAAATGTATTTTCTTTTATCAGTCATTTAGTTTAGGACTGATGCATTTCTGTGGTGTGAATCTGCTGACTTTAGGTAAACATCTTTTGCAGATAAACCACATCCATAATGAACCTGTCTATGATTTTCAGATTAACTTTCTTCAAACAATCCAGAAACATTTCTGACACTGTAGAATTTTGCTAAATTTTAAAATATTTTCCCAATCTTTTACAGTTGCATTATACATAGTAATTAAATCGTAATATGTTAAGCAATTTGCCTTTATTGTTTTCTGTTTTTTTAACAAAACTTTAAATTTAGTTGTCGTGGAAACAACTTCTTTACTTTCATTACATCATACTCATTCAAATGCCTGATTAGATTAGCATATGACTAAATTAGAGGATGTTACAATGGTGAATATCATTGATATAAATAGATTTATGAGACTAGATACAGTTGACTCTTAATAAATAACTTACTCCACAAGTGAGGTGTTGTTATACATGAAAGGAAGCCTGTGTACTCTGAGTGATCAGTATACCATAGCATTACCTATGAGGGCTTCTTTGTATGTAAACTATGTTGGACATACCACTTTGCTTTTATAAACCTTCCTTAACTAATGTGTCTCAAGTCATTTCAGAAGATTTAATGGTAAATCACTTTTTACCTGGCCTCAGATGTTTACGGACTGACATGGAACATCTCTCTCCAGGGCATGAGGTAAGCAACTGTTATTATCAGTGCCACAATCATACATTTTCATATCTTCTTATAGATTTTTGTTCTTTATATGAGACTTGATTATGATATGCTGTGCTTAATTTTTTTTAAATACCAATTGATGTCATTTTATGGACTTACTAGTTTTGATACCTAGAGCAACTTTAACATTTTTGAGGCTCTGTGTCATTCTCTAAAGTAGGGATAGCACATTCTCTTTCACTTTATATGATAATTTAGTAAGATAATGTATGTGAAATGTTTAATTATAAATTGTTAATTATCTTTCACTATTAAGTTTCTTGAAAGTAAAGTTTCTATTTTTCTGTTTCCTCATAATTCATTCCACTGTCTCCTTTTTTGTAATGTTTCCTATTCTATATTTTCAAACTGTTTTTGTCAGCTTTCCCCATTATATTTGACTTTTCTCTCCTAAATAAAATAAAAACTTTACTTCCTCCCTCTCCAGATCTTTTTCTTCCCAGTTGTCTGTACCTACTCTTTCATCTTTCTTACCCCCACATCAAATTTTTTGTTCAGCCTCTACCCAGAGCTAAAACACTCCATCTCCTTCAAGTTTATCTCTCTTATAAAAATGTAAGCTCTACAAAGAGAGGATGTAGTATGTTTAGCAGCTCTATCTTTAAGAAGCGCCTAGCGTATAGCAGGTAAACAATAAATATTGCTTTAGTGACTTCCATGGTCAAAGCATGAGTCAAGGAGAATATTCAGAGGGCTATTCAGTTTCTGGTGTGGTTGTGAACTGTTAGAGAAATTTGTTTGGATCCCCACTTTTTAATCACTGGTTCATTCTCCCTGCAAGGATGATGTTAAGTGTTATAATCTTAGATACTAAGCCTGTCACCACTTGTTACAACCTGGGAAAGCAAAGGAATATAGACTAGAATGGCTTTTACTGGAAAAGTATACGTGTGACTGCAGTACATGTATATGTTAAATGTATAGATGGACATGAGATGGTGAGAGAAGCTAATGGAGAATGGGAATCAGATTTAGAAATAAGTCTAATGAAAATGAAAATAAATTCTTAAGTTATATGATTGAGATTTGGGTTGAGGGGCGGTTTTTTGGAGATTGAACCCAGGCCCTCCTGCATGCTAAGCACACATTCTACAATTGAACTACATCCCCAAACCCCAGAATGAGATCTTTCAGAGCTGTTTCTGTAGTAGTCTGCCAATCTAATATGAATCCTTCAACAAAGTAACTGTTAAAAGTTTATGTTTTTAATTAACATATTAGTTTATGAGGGTGTTAATTAAAACTTTAAGTCATAGCATTTTATTAAACTGTATTTCACTAAAACAATTTTTTAATCAGGTTATTTTAAGTTCCATGATAAAAGAATGTGAACAAAAAGTAGAAAACAAGACTGTCCAAGAGCCTCAAGGGTAAGACATTAATTCTTTTTCAAGGCTTTATATTAACCTTAATTTCTATATCTAGATTTGCTATTGATAGGCATAATGTTTCACTTTGTCTTACTTTGTAGTCATTTATTTGGAAGATAGGACTTTTTGAAGAGGAGGGGAAGGGGTGGAGAAAAAGAATAAGATAAGGTTATTAACCAACTCCCTGTGAGAAATGTACTGCAAACACTTCTTTGTAAGAGAATCTTTTTTTGTCTATGATTTGTGTATCATTTTGGCCATTCTTTTAAGATTACAATACATGGTATATTAACTATTACTACTCTAATTTTTTTATAAAATTTCATTTTATTTTTCGTAGAAGAGTGCTTTGTGTGTGTGTGTGTGTGTGTGTGTGTGTGTGTGTGTGTGTGTGTGTTTTGTTGTTTTTGTTTTTTGTTTTGTTTTGTACCTGGGATTGAACTCAGTACCTTGCACTTGCAAGGCAGGCAGCACTACCACTGAGCTAAATCCCCTACCAACTTCTTATATTTTCTTTATTAATATCTACTTGTATTACATTAAAATTAAAAATGTATAAAAAAACAAAAATTGAGGAAAAAAGACTGTGATTTAAGTTAGCTGTTCTCAAATGCTGATCCATAAGCTATCTCATCAGAAGTATCTGAGAAGTTTAAAATTCATCTCTCTACCCCATTCTTTGTAGATTCCGCTCAACATCCTGTTTCAACCAAGGGTCTTCTTGTTTTAAAAAAATAAAAACCTCCAAAGAGTTTTTGATATGTAGTTGGATTGGAGACACAAGGTCAAAACAGTAGAAATTTGTGACATAGTTGCAAGATATAATAATTTGCTGAATAAAGGGTTGTAAAACTTAGGAACATTCTAGCCAAACTAATAATTCTGACCAAGCTGATTAGAAATTGAAAGATTCAGTGAAATTAAAATATGAACACAGAGGGGCAGGGATTTAGCTCAGCAGCACCGCACCTTTAGGTGCAAGGTCCTGAGTTCAATCCCTTGTACCAAAAAAAAATATGAACTTAGTTGTGAAAGAGTAATGTTGGTTGGTCACTCAAGGAAGGAAATAATTTACAAATGGATTGTGTTCTCTAATTCTTATTGAAGTAACTGAACAATATTTTAAATGGACTCACACGTAAAAAGCTCAGAAGTATATCCTTTAAGCTTGACTACTAGAAATACATTTTATCCAGTCATTCTGGGTACACTCACACACACATGCACGCAGCCTAACACACACAATCACTTTTTGATATATCAAAACCCTTTTTTTAACCTGTGATAGGAGCTTTTCTCTCTACATACTTGTACCTACCATTTTAGTCATGGAAAGTTAAAACAGCAGAAATTCATTGAAATAATAAAATACTTTTTTTTATTCAAACAGAATCTCTAAAATCAACACCAAAGCAAATATTTCTACTAATTTGTCATACATTAAATATCAAATTATCTAGAGCCTTCAGATTATTTTAAAACCTAAAAACTTTTAGAAGAAAATGAGGAAACTTCATAGAAATTTCCTTCCACTTTTTTCTCCACATTATATACTTTTGGAAGAAATTAGGTCATTTGGCATATAGAGCTTTTCACAGTTCTAATTTTGCTTACTGCATTTGCCTTTTGTTGTTGAATATGAACTCTATTTCCTATCAATTGGGTAGTTGAATCTTGATCTAGAGACTTAATTGGATATGCTTCTTTTGGCAAGACTGCTTCATAATAGGAGATAGGTTTTCATCCTAAAGCTGATACCTGTTTTTCTCCTTTTGGGGGAATGTTAACAAGCTGTTAATAATTAATGAATTTATTAATTTGAGGTTATGAAATACATTACCCTAATTCTATCATCCCTGTATCATTGATTACCTAGAATATTTCAATAATGAAAAATCATATAAGCTACTTATTACTCAATACTGTAGTTTATATGGTAAAGCCAAGACATTCAGCTTTGTTTTTATTTGTCAGAATAATAAATTGATTCACAGATAGATTTTATTTTTTAAAAAGTTATAAACTCATGTATTAAACTTACATGATTCAGTGTGCTGCATTTGTAATTCTTATTGATGCCCAAATTATCCCATCTTTAGCCAATTTGAATATTTTTTAAGTTGACTCCTAAATCCTTTTGACGTGGCTGTTTCTTACAATCTATATGACAGTACCATGAATATACTTTTGAAGGGTAAGGGCAAATGAACAGGACAGGTATACTTTTATGTATAAATTGTTCCTAGTTTTTAAAACACTTTTATTATTAAGATTTGTGAAGTTCAACATGGATTATTTTTATTCAGAAAAGTGGAGGAAATGCTAATATATTATATCCATTAATCTTTAACTTATTTATTTCTAATATGTAAAGCATGTGTGAAAACATTAACTATATTATCAGTCAGCAGATGATCACAGACCTGTAGACAATCAAAGCATTTACATGATTTTAACTTTTAAATGATTTGGTACTTACAGATACCAAATAAAAAATACAGAAAATATGTGTTGCAAGAATCAGAGGAATTTTAATCACATATCTCACCTTTAAGAGTGTCTTCATTTTGGGCACCGTGCTAGGGACTAAAAATAAATGAGTACAAATAAGTAAGTTAGCTTTGCCATCCAATAACTTAGAGTTAAACTAGACAAGATAAGGGAATGGCATTGTGTTACCTGTTATAATATTATAAATCCCATGTGGACATTATACAGGCTATATAAATACAAGACTTTTAACTACCAACAATAGGCAGGAGAGGCTTAATGAGGACCTTAAGATCCTTGGCTATATATCTCTAATATATATCTATATATCTCTAATATGCATATATATGCATATATATTAGAGATATATATCTAATATATATATCTATATATCTCTTATATATATATATCTCCCCTAGGTCTTTTCGACATAGGATTCCATCTTATTTTGTCTAGCTACTTCCTTCATCCTCAGGCCAAAGCTTAGAAGTCACCTTTTCAAGGAAGCCTTCCTTAAGCCACTCCTCAGAAGTCTGTTGTAAATCAAAAGCACAAGAAGAAAGCCTTGAACAGTAAGGGGAACTATTTCTAAGAAGGAAAAGTAAGAGTGGAGGCAAATAATGAAGGATACTTGTATCTGTGAAATGCTCTTCTAATTGCTGTAACCTATTAGTTCATCATTAAATTAATTCAGTTGGAGTCGGACACATCTGTAATCCCAGAACTGTGGGAGATTGATTTAAATGGATCACAAGAACAAGCCTAGCCTGGGCAATTGAACAACCTAGCAAGATGCTGTCTCAAAATAAAAAACAAAACAGGGAGTTGTGGCATACTCCTGTACTTGAGCCACTCTGGGAAGCCAAGGCAGGAAGATCACAAGTTCAAGCCCACCTTGGCCAACTTAGCAAGATGCTGTCTCAAAATAAAAGAAGGCTGGGGATATAGCCTAATGCAAAGGCCTTAATTTCAATCCCTAATACCACAAAATTAATTAATTAATAGTTAATAAAATAAAAACTAGAGAGAGCATCTCAAGTAGTAAGGATAAATGCTTCTTTATGATACTTCAAATATGTGCTGTAGTTATTTTAAATATTCTCTTCCTGAGATCTTTGTCTAAAGAAAGTTTTAAACACACTGATCTGCAAGCAGAAAAATATATACATAAATGGTTTTTTCTGTTCATTCAGCATTTAGTGAAACTCACTGAACACGTTTCATAAACTGTTAACAAAAATGAGCTTAGCTGGGCTGTAGCTCAGTGGTGCTGCCACCTGCCTCACAAGCGCAAGGTCCTGATTTCAATCCCTGCTATCAAAAAAAAAAAAAAAAAGATCTTAAATAAGGCATAGTCCTTTCCCACAAGATAAGGACTCACAGCTCAGCAGTGGAGCAGTTAAAAGTGTGTGTGTGTGTGTGTGTGTGTGTGTGTGTGTGTGTGTGTGTGTGTGTGTGTGTGTGTGTATGACAAAAATTAAACATTAAAATAGTGCTTCCACATTTCCCAGGAATCTTCAGGTATGAACAGTTGGCTATAGAGGCAAAGGGGAAAAAAGTGGGGATTACAGTGGACCCTCGAGTTATGACCAGTTTGACATACAAACTTGGGTTATGACAGAAATTTTAGTTTTAACTAACTAAGTCTTGAGTTATATCCTGAATGCCAGCCACTGTGCTTTGAGATGGTCTCAGATGCAGATTTAACCCCTAAAGAGTTCCGAAAGGTACATTACAACATCCTTTCCTGTATTGAGGAGTCCTGGGCCCAATGTCTGAGGACACAGATCTGCCTATATATGGGAGAGAGACTTTGAAGGTTGTGTAGAGGAGCCTGAGCCTATACCTTGAGTTACAACCAGCCCCTCAGGAATGAATTTAGTTCCTAAGTTGAGTCCACTGTATGTGCATAAAATCAGCACTGTGCATAATGACATAAGTTCGAAAAGAGAATATGTTGGAAACTCATAGTGGAGAATAGCCTAAGTATATAAAAGTGGGTAGGCACAGAACTTTGTTAGCCACACTTACAGGGCTGGACTTACCCTGTAAGCAAGGAGTTGGTAAACTTCTTCTGTAGACAATAAATACTATTTCAAGCTTTGAAGACCATAAGAACTTTAACTCAACTACTCATCTAGACTCTTCTATTTTAAGGAAAGCAACCATTGACAGTAAATTAATCAGCATGTCTGAGTTTCAGTAAAACTTAGCAAACAGCCAGACTTGGCCTGCCACTTGTAGTTTCCCAACCTTTAAGAACTTCGGTTCTCATAGGGTCCATGAGAATCACCTAGAAGTTGCTGAGTACCTTTCCCCCAGATTTTAATTTAGAAGGTTTGGGGTAAAGTTTGAGGATTTGCATTGAGAACAAGTTCCCAAATGTCACTGATACAGGTGCAAGAACCACACCTTGAGAGACACTGCTTTTTAGAAGCTGTACTCTTCTCTTAATGTAGAGAAGCAAGTGGAATAGCTTGGGAAACCACTATGGGGTCCATTATGAGATAGGCGTGAGCATAGATGGGCAAGTAATAGGCATCATTATTATTACTAACACTTATGAACCAGATATCATTCTGAGCATTTTTCACATACTTGCTAATGATTACCTTAATACTTTACAAAGTAGATACTATTCCCTTAACCACTATAATATCTGGGTTTGACAGTGAATATATGAAAAGATGGATCGGAAATATATTTCAGATGTGAACTCATTCTGACAACAGATTAAGAGTGAAGGAAAACAGATTCTAAGGGTTCCTAGACCTTGGTTTGAACATTTACGTGGTTGATGGCACAATATAACAAGAGAACTGTAGGAAGAACTGTTCTGAAGAGGAATTTTTATAATTTGTGGAACAGCTAGAAAAACACATAGGTGGCAATTGAGACTTAAGAACCTTAGCAAATAGGTATTAATTAAAGGATTAGGGTTAGGGAAGGGGCTCTGACAGGAAAGAGAAAATGGCAAGAAATTGCAGACCAGCATTTTAAGGTGCAGTGATTCAATGGTATACACCCTGATGAATATTACAAACCCCTTTGTAAAACTACTAAAAATTTACAGTGTAAAAAAAAAAAAAATAGTGCTATAACACAATTATTCTTTACTAGAAAGCTATACAAAATATATTGCCCAGGCCCTCTATCCCAAATGGAAAGTTCCATAAGCACTATGATTAGGTATTTTGATTTTCAAAAAAGCTCCCCAGGTGATTGTGATATGTTCTCAGTCGTGTTCTCAGGATATATCCAGCCTGCAGATGGTTTGTATCTAACTTCTCACATTTGTGGGCATGTGCTAAGTCACCTAAATCTTTTCTCCATGCCAAACATTCTTCATCCCTTTCAGTTTTACCCCTTCGGTAAAACCCTTAGGGTTTCCAGGCTCCTTTATATCATTGTTGCACTCTTTGTAGAGTATCATTAAAATTTGATAGTATTCTTAGGTATGATATGATCCATACAACCCCTTTTCCTAACTGTAAATTAAAATCAAGCATATCTTTTGACTTACACTGAGTTTTCTACAAAAAAGAAACACTTGTAAACCTCAGTGGTTAAGAAAAGACCCATTGGAAAGACTGGACTTGAACTGAGGTTTGAGAAATGGGTAGGCAGTGGAGAGAAAGAGGGATCTTAGTTTGAAAATTATTGGGCAATAGCAGTAGGCGGACCTGGCTGAAAGGGTGGGAATATAAGAAATAGGTGGTAAGAGTATAAAACACATGTTAGTTCACTACATTTCTTGAATATACACGCACATTATTTTATCTTGTAGTAAATGAACCCTGAAGATATTCGACCTGGAGTATGCTATAAAGAGGTCACTAGTTCTGTAATTCAATTACTATTTTGAAGTCATCCATAATTGAAGCATTGAGAGAAAGTTCTGTAATTGGAAAATTAAAAGCCAAGTGTTGGACCTTATATTACTTTGTGAGAAGAGGGGGGAAAAAAAGGAGAAGTAGTTCTCCAAAGGCAGGAAGAGAGAAACCATATTAGTGTACTGGAAGAAGAGACTTTGAAGGGGGAGAGTTGTGTTTGGGTTTTCAACTGAGTAGGTAATTGAGCGGTGCACACTGTGAAAGACACACGCCCAGATGCATTTGGTGGTAGCACCAGTTTCATGCTATAGTTCTAACAGAGCACCTCTTAGCTTGCCACACATTGCCCTTGACAAGTTTAAATACATTATCTTACTTAATCTTGGGATATTTTGCAATAGAAATTGCAAGCTGTGTTTTACAGATGAGGAAATTGAATTGGAAAGGTCAAATACATCTCAACCAAAGCCACAAAACAATAAACTAGGGTTCAGAGTCTAGTACAAGACTCTTTCTGTACAATAATTTGATAAATTGGCAATCTTTGGTACTCATTTAGATTTTGTTTATTCCCTACACTGCAGTTTGGCAAAAGAAAAAGAATAAATGAATTTGAAAACTGGTGATTCATAACATGCTTTTCCCCCCAAATAAGAATAGGAGTATTATCAGCACAATATGGATTTAAGTCACACCTCAAATGTTCCAGGATTGCTGTAAAAACTAAATGATGTCATTAAAAGAACAACTACTAACACTTGTGGCATGCTATTATATGTCTAGCATTGTACTAAGCACTTTACATTTGTTGTTCTTTTGAGATAGTATCACACTCTGTATTCAAGTGGGCCTTGAACTCAATATGCAGCCCAGGCTGCTCTTAAACTTGAAATGATCCTTCTATTCAATCTCCCCAGTGCTGGGCTTATAGGCATGCCATACCCAGCTTTTGTTTGTTTGTTTGTTTGTTTGTTTGAAGGGCTCCATTTTACAAATGAAAGAATTTCCTCTCTAATAAACTTGGTTCCAACCACTACTTCTTTCTTTAATATAAACAGTGAACATAGTACTCCTTTAATATAAAAAATGCATAATGAACACTCCTCAGCTAATATGATACATAAAACTTCCCTTCTTAAGCATTAATATCCCCTTTTATAACCCCCATGAAGAATGTATTGATATGTTACTAAAGAAATGAAAATTTGATATTTTTGTTTTTTAATTGCTTAACAAATTTTAAATTTATTTTTTCTAGCTCGATGTCAATTGCTGCAAGCTTAGTGAGTGAAGATACAAAGACTAAGTTTTTGAACAAAATGGGCCAGTTGACAACATCAGGTGCCATGCTGGCCAATGTATTTCAAAGAAAGAAGTAGAAGCAGGAAGGAAGCTCCCAGGAAACACTAAGATGGACCTCAGCAGACTGGTTCCTTGTACTTGAAGTACTTGCCTTTTTTTATTTTCTCAGTTTTTTGTTCTTCTATTATAATGTTATCCTAACCTCCAAAGATATTTGCACTGCTTTTGATTATTGCTGTGTATCTGTTGATTTTGGAATTATAACAACTGTGGTAATAGAAAATTGATTTGATGGCCTGTACCAAGTCCCTCTTCTGTGTTATCTTTGAGAATAATTTTTTACATATAAATGTGTATATAAATATATATATATATATTTATTTGCTTTTTTGTTTTATTTTTGGATGGGATAAATAACTAATATCTGTATTATACTCTAAGCTATTACAGTGGTACTTAAAATAATGTAAATTTGAAGTCATTGTTATAAAGTAATAAAAGTGGAGATTACCTAAGTATTTAAATTATGAAAGAATAATGCAAACTTTTTATTGTTTCCTGACTAGAAAGAGCCACCAGCATTACTCTGTGCCTTTTGAACTTCAGTTTGTGTATTCTGTAGGAATTATGTGCATTCCATTCACACGGTATTTCTTTATGCTGCTGTGATGAATTTGAATTACAAATCCTACAGTAAATAGATGATGAAACCTTCAACATTTCGGAACTCTCATTCATATTCGTTTAAGTGCTATTTAAACCTCCCCAGAACTTAAAAGCATATAATGGACTTACCTGAGGAAAGATAGCATTTAGCCATGGGGAGAAGTAACCAAGGTGAATTTTACAAAGTGTACAGTAGATTTAAATGCTCAAAACTATATGTAACTGAGAAGAGGTAATAATTGTGAATTTTCTCCCAAGTTGTATATGAAAGATAGTATAATTTGAATCTAAAATGTATCATTTGTCTGTGTAAAACATTTCACACAAAATGTTTTCTGATCATTTTAATTTTACAAGTTAGCTTTTTATTCTGTGTTACAGAGAAGTACTAAAAAGTTAGGGACATTTGGGGGCTGCTGTTTTTTTTCCCCTTCTAAACAAAAAGTAACATTAGCTATATTATTATTGGTTAATTATTACTTTGTCCCTTTAAGTCAGTGACTATTGTGTTTGGTATATTTTACATAGTCTTAAATTAATGTAACAGGATTTGATGGTTGTCTATACAGTAATAAAAGTAGAAGAGAGGGATGAACATAGAAAAGGTATGTTTGAAGGGTAAATGTGAGGCCTTTTTAAAAAATGAATATTTTGATAAAGAGACTTCTTGTTTGAGCACAGTTGATGCACATAGGTGATTCTCATTTTTATTGTATAGACTGGTTTAATACAATTGGACCATAATTGGATTACACTTACTTCCTGGGAAAGCTAACTTACCCTACTTTCAAGCTTACAATTTGCCATGGGCAAAGCCATTTAAAAATTTCATGCTGGGGCCAGGGATTTAGCTCAGTGGTGCTGCTGCCTGCCTTGCAAGCATAAATAAGGTCCTGAATTCGATCCCTAGTACAAAAAAAAAAAAAAAAAAGTTCATTCTGAAGTTATTTATTTTACCTACAATAAAATAATTGTTGACTAACTAGTCTTTCTGGAAACTGTTGAATTCTAGGCATTCCTGAGAAACAAAAGTGGCTACCTTTCATGTCAAAAATGTTGATCTATTATAAATAAAATGATTTTGCATATTTGTTATTGTTTTGTTTTTAGCTGTGTGTTTTGCTTTCCTTCTGAAATATTATATCTAATCAAAAATAAGAAATATATTCATTAAAATGTTCTCTGTTTAGAAATAGTAATCTACATAAATTACCTGTTTTGGTTTACTTTTACTAAAAAGGGATTGTTGTAATGATACTAATACATTTTGGAAATGATTCAAAGAAAAGTGTTTAAATTCAGCTTAGCCTAAACTGTAGTAGAGTACATTTATGTTTGTTATCAGATGAACTCATACATATTCCTCCACTATCCATGGGGACTAGTTTTGAAATCCACTACTACCAAAATCCACCAATGCTCCAGGCCTTTGTATGAAATAGAATAGTGTTTGCATATAACCTAAACACATCCTTCATATATTTCTCTTTTTTTTTCCTTAGGTCATCCCCAGATTACTTACAATCCCTAAAACAATGTGAATGCTATGCAGATGGCAGTTACACTTATGTTGGTTAGGGACTACTACCCAGAAAACAAAGTCTGTAGATCTTTGGTACAGAATGCAGTTTTTTTCTGGACTCTTTTCATCCATAGATGATTGAATCCATGGGTATGAAATCAATGAATACAGAGGGCTGGCTGTAATGTATTTCTGTAATTTTTATTTAATGAATACATGTATTTGAATGCTAATAGTTTTTAAAGGGCAACAGGAAAGCCATATAATATATCCCAAATGAGTTTCTCTGAGTCTTAATATCATTAAGATTTTTATTTGTTTATTAGTTTTTACAGACAAGTCAGACATTAATTACTAATTATGAGCCTCTTCTTCCAAAACACAATAAAATACCCATTCTTGGTAAATAAAAGTAAAACTTGTGGTTTAACTTTGTTCAGCTTAAATAGTACTAAGTTTGCAAAGCAATGAGAAGCTAATTTGAAATGCCTCTATTTCCAAAACAATCCAGAGATGAAATTTTTTTCAGAAATCCAGAAGTGGCCCTCATTACCAATTCAGCTGAGTTCTTTCAAGTACAGTGTTTGAATACCTATTGCAATACATAGGAGTTCTGGACTTTCATTTGTTTCCATCAGTCATCCCTTTTGAAAAATTGTTCTGCTGAACATCAAGTTGACTTTTAACCTGAATGAAATTGTAAGTTAAATCAAGCTTACCACTGAAGTATGTTGACTATAATTTTAATGAGAATCTCAAGTCAAGGTGCTTTCAAAATTCTTTTTCTATCTATAGAAGAAAAAAATTAACTGAGATGATCCCTCTGATAAAGTTTTAGGATATGAAACCTATATGATTGTCTTTACATGACTCTGTTTTTCAAGGCAACCCATTTGGGGCAACTATTTGAACTTTGAAGACGTAACTTACCCTAGATGTCATCTTTAAATGAAATTCTTCATATTGGCAAAATAATTACATTTCAAACAACCTAGAGATCTTCTGTATGCATTTTGTTTTAACAAATCAGCACTCTAATTACAGTCTCACGCTGGCATTGTTCATTTTTGCTCTTCAGAATCAACTACAGTAAACTTTTGATTAACCAACCTTCTTTATGCTTTACTTCATTTTCATGTTTAAGAAAAATCTTAAATGAAATTTTTATTCTCTTTGAGACCACACCAATCATAAAGTGCCTAACAATGTAAACGATATAATATAAAAATATAATTTATTGTATAATGGTATTGTATAAATAATTTATTGTATAAATATCTTCATTCTTTTGGAGGGAGGATATTTTTCAGTAAAGCTGAAAATGTTACAAGTAATCTTTATAAATATAAATTGCTGCGTAATGTAAATCTATTATTTCCTCTTGCCATTGTAGATGGAGCTTTCTTTTTTTCCTCATGCCATCATAGGGCCTTTATCTTCTTTTTTCGTTTTTAGATAGGGTCTCACTATGTAGTTTTAGCAGCCATGAACTCACTATCACTAAGCCCAGCATGGCCTTAAACTAATGGCAGTCCCCCTGCCTCAGCCTCCGAGTGCCGGGATCACAGGTATGTGCCACCACACACAACATTTGTCATTCTCTGTCATTAATAGACCTTATGGTGAATACTTTCACTGTCATTAATAATCTGTCATTAAATAATAGTCCTTACAGTGAATACTTTAATAAATCATTTTCTAATGTAATTTTTTATATGAATTTCATAAACATGTTCACCTTTCAGACAAATTCTAAGCCCCAAAGAACATGAGAACAATGTTCTCTACTCCCAAGACTTTTATGAAAATTATATAATAGTAACTAGCTCCCTTTCAATTTGTAGACACCTTCCTTTAATCTTGTAAGACTCATACAGATACAGGAAGAAAATATCTTGAAACTAATTGGCTCATTTTGTCATTTAAAAGAAAGGACCTCTTTGATTAATCATTGACCAATAATGAAAAAAGTCAGAATCCAACTTTCTTGCCAAAGCCATAAAAGTCTTCAGATCTTAGGAGATAAATGCTACGTATCAAATTGGGGGACTATTTTATTTCCTCATACTTAGCGCACTGTAATACAATTACTCTCAAGAAATCAGTAACAGAAGACTTAAAATGGAAAATGTCTTGATTTTTCAGAAGTTAAAAGCCAATAGATTTTGCAAAATATAGATTATCATTTAGTTTCAATCTAAATAATGCCCACTAGAGTAACCCCCTGCAATTTCTTCATATCACCCTGGTTTTTGGAATTACCCTTATCAATACTCACTTTTTTGTTTGTATTGTCTGTTTTTCCACTACACTAAGCTTCAAGAGAGAAAATGTTTTGTATTCTTTCTAACTAGTGTCTCTTCAGTATTTCAAGAATGCCTAGTATATGGTAGGTAATCAACAAACATGGAATATAAAAGTAATGAGTTCCTGAACTTGGATACCAATTCCATAAAAAATTGCCAATTACATTGAAAGGATGGTTAAGAATAAGTAGTCGCCCAAAGCAGTATGAGTTAGCCAAGACTACATGCCAAACAGCCAGCGGTGGTGGCTCAGGTCTATAATCTCAGTATGGTACTCCAGGAGGCAGAGGCAGAAGGATTGCAAAATGGAACTCTGCACAATTTAGTAAGACCCTGTATCAAAGTTTTAAAAGAGGCAGGAATGTAGGTCAGTGCAAAGGCCCTGGGTTCAATCCCCAACCCCAGTACAAAACAAAACAAACAAATGTTAGAATATGTTGATTGGGAACAGTGTAGAATTGTGTGTCTTCTCTTTCTCATCCTTATTTACATCTAAAGTAGAAAACAAGGGCTGAAGAAAAGTGGAGCTGCACCATGTATATATGGATAAAATTAACATAATTTGTGTTATTGTCCGACGGGAAATAGCCCTTAAATAAACCACCAGGCTTACCAAGTGATTTGTGAATGTGGAGATGCCACCCTCTTCTATAGACTGTGAAGTCATCATTGTGCCTATGTTATGTTAGGCACAGGGAGACCAGCTGGCACAGAATCTACCTTGGAGCTTAAAGCCAGACAAGGAAAACAGGTTGAGAAAGAATTGCTGAGCAGGACTTACTTCAGTCAGAGTGCTTACTGTTTACTTTGGCTTCTTTGAGGTGACTTTTTACCTGGAACTAGGAAGAATA